AAAAAAAAAAGAGGGAGCTAAGCCATGAAGGGCTTTAAAGGTCAGGAGAAGAATTTTGGATTGGATTTTGAAGGGAATAGAGAGCCAATGGAGGGCTAACAACAAGGGAGTGACATGGTCAAAACCATGGACAGAGAAGATGATTTTGGCCACTGAGCATTGCACAGAAATTAGAGGGCTAAGGTGGGAATTAGAAAGTCCTACTAGCACTGAGTTGCAATAATCCAGGTGTGATATCACCAATGCATGCACCAATCTCTTAATTATTGACAGAAAAAGAAACTGTCAAATTCTGACAAAATTATAAGAAAAAATCTGCATGACTTGGCCTTAGCTTGGATCTGTGGAGCGAATGATAACAAAGAGTCAAATAAGAAGCCAAGACTATGGGCCTCATAGACAGGTTGAATAGAAATATTATCCGCAGTAATTGACAATGAACATTGCAGAGATGGCTTGGGTGGGAAGACAAGTAGTTCAGTTTTAGCCATGTTGAGCTTCAAATTCCAGTGAATCATCCATGCAGAAACAGCAGCAAGAGATTATGATAATTGCTGCTCAACACCTGGGGAAAGCTCAGGGATATAGAAGTACAGCTGGGTGTCATTGGCATACAGGTGATATTGAAAGCTGTAGAGATAATAAGATTTCCCAAGTACAGGGTATAGAGGGAGAACAATAGAGAACTCAGAACAGAACCCTGAGGCACCCTGAGATGCAGGCAGAAATCTGACCTCCTGTAGCCATCGCAAAAGATCTGTCCGACAAGTAGGATTTAAACCAATTTAAAACTGGTCCTGTGAAACCCAGATTTTGGAGTAAATCCACAAGAGACCATGATCAGTGGTGTCAAATGCAGCATAGAGATCCAAAAGGACTAGAACAGAATAGAGACCTTTAGATTTGGCTAGTAAAATATCATCAGTGATCTTAGTAAGAGCCGTGTTGGTCGAATGCAGTAGGCGGAAGGATCTAAGATAGAATTAGCAGTAAGAGTAAACAACGAGTTCTAAAACCTTATATAGAAAAGGAAGAAGTGAGATAGGCTGGTAGCTTGAGAGAGAAGATGAATCAAGAGAAGGCTTTTTCAAAATTGGTGAGACTAGAGCATGCTTAAAGGTAGAAAGGAAAGAGCCATTAGAGAGAGAGAGAGAGATAGTTTGATAATATAAAGAAGAGCAGGTAAAATAGAGGGAACAACAGAAATCAAAAGATGAGAAGGAAGCGGATCAAGGGAACAAGTCATTGGTTTAGAGAAGAATTCAAGTGTTTGGATAGTTCACCCAATGAGACAAGTGAAAAAGAAGAGAATGTTCCAGTTATGGATGATTGAGTTCCTGGAGTAAAGGAAGAATGAAGAGAATCAAGGTTGAAATGGATTGTTTCAGTCTTAGTAGTAAAGTAATATGTGAAATCATTGGATGAAAATGAGTGAGGAGCCAGAGGAGAAGGTTTTAGTAAAGAATCAAATGTGGAGAAAAGATGCTGCAGCCACAGATTTATAATAATTCTGTTTTGCCAAGGAGACAGCTTGCAAAAAAAGAAAAAAGGAAGAAATTTGTAATAAAATAAATAAAATCTGCCCATTCCCTGGTCTTTTTCCACAGACATTTGGCAGCTCGAGGACAAGAATGGAGGAACCAAATGATGGGAGTGAGCCAGGGCTGTGGCTTGTTAGAGGAGGTTGTGCATATCAATAAATGGGCAAAACTATCGGGGGTGGTAGATAAAATAGAATTAAGTCGATTGCTGGGTTCATGGAGTCTTCAAGGTTTAGGAAAGATAAGGAGAAATCCAGAGCTTAGCCAAAAGTCACAGGATCAACAGAATGAAGATCACAAAAATGGTGTTGGACAGTTTGACGAGGAGGTGGATTATGGATAAGAGCAAAAGAGATGAAATGGTGATCAGACAGCAGAAACTCCCTAACCACATCGTCAGAGTTTACACATTTTATGGTAAGAACAATGTCAAGGCAATGACCAGAAGAATGAGTAGGTGCATTAGAACAGAGTTCGAGACCAAAAGAGGACAACACAGAACAAAGACATACAGTTGCAGGATTCTTAATGCCATCCATGTGGATATTAAAGTTCCCCATAATCAAAAAGGGGACTTCATCAACTAATAAGAAAGTCAGCCAAGTCTAAAAATCTGACAAAAACTTAGTGGGTGATCTCAGTAGTCAATAGATGACTGCAACCCTAAGCTGAAATAGTAAGAAAAGCTTAATAGCATAAAGTTCAAAAGAAGAAAAACAGTGCTGTTGAAGAAAAAGTAACAGTTGAAACCAACAGGAGTTGGATAGCAGAACACTGTTCCCTTCCCCTCTACTCTCCGGGCAACTAGCATGAAAAAAGAAAGGTCCATCAATTGACAGGGCAGCAGAGGTTATGGTGTCATGAGCTGGAAGCCAGGTTTCAGTGAGAGCAAGATGGAGACATTTAAACAAGAAAAAGATTATGGACTGCTGTTGATTTAGGACCAGCTGAATGACAGTTCCAAAGAGAGCAATTGAAAGGAAGCTGAGAACAAGGAAGACACCTAATGAAAATCAAATTAGGAGAGATAGTAGGAGCCATGGAAAAAAATAAGTTAACAAGAAGAAAATCAGAAACAGACAGCAAGAGAAAATATAAAGAGCCTACAGCAATCAATAGTCACCAGCATTGCCAGGCTAGGAACAGCTAGAGTCAATCAAGTCGATAATAAACATCCAATGTCACAAAACCATCATTCGTTAAATTAGCTCAATAGAAGGTCAGTTCAAGAAACCAAACTGTCTTCAAGCCCATCGTAATGGTCAATGTGAATGATGTCAAATAAATAAGATACAATATAATAATAGGTTAATTGGAAGTTTTGAAAACAATCAATCTGCTATAGTTCTTGTTCTTTAACGTAAAATAAGGTTATTGTAATAGAGAAGAAGAGATAGTCAGCATTACTCATCTGCTATAAATGATAAATGATAAGTTTGGCTGCCGGTGCTGATGGTAAGCCAGGTGGGGAGGTTTTGAAGCCACTGCCACTGCCGCTTGACACTCCTCCTTGCTGCCAGGGCCAAAGGAAAGCCAGGTAGGCTGATGGTAAGCTGAGTTGGGCAGTTATGAAGCCTCCACTGCCTGACACTTCTCCTGGCTTCTGGGGCCAAAGGAAAGCCAGGTAGGCTGATGGTAAGCTGAGTGGGGTAATTATGAAGCCGACGCCACTGCCTGATGCTCCTCCTGGCTGCCAAGACCAATGGTAAGCAGGATGGCTGAGTGGGGTGGTTTTGAAGCTGCCGCCACCACCACTTGACATTCCCCCTGGCTTCTGGGCCAAAGGAAAGCTGAGTAGGCTGATGGTAAACCGGGTGGAGTGGTTATGAAGCTGCCACCGCCACCACCTGATGCTCTTCCTGGTTGCCAGGGCCAAAGAAAAGCCTGGTAGGCTTACGTATATGCAACCTAATTCAGCTCAAATATTTGAGCTTTGCCTCTTTCGTCCCTCTTCTACCTACAAATGA